GGGCGGGCGGCGGTGGGGGGGCGGGCGCGGGGGGCGCGGTGCGGGGTCTGCCGCCTCGGCCGCGCCAATTCCAGGTGCGTCACGGCGGGGCGGGGCTGGCGGGCCGGCCCCGCCCCACCAGGCCCCGCCCCCTGGCTCTGCACCTGCGCGCGGCTCGCCCAGCGCTCTGGGCACCCCGCTTCTGCCCAGCTGCCCGCTGGCCGGGTGCGTGCGGTCGCGGCCTTGCCGGCTTCCCACCGGTGCCGTCCCGCAGAGGCCGAGGCAGGGGCGTCCTGCTTAGGGGGTTGACGTCCAAGGCAGGCCCGCGCAGTTTACAGGTGGTACCAGCTCGGGTCCCCTGAGAGCGGGAGAGTGATTATTTCCCTCATTGCACAGAGGAGTAAATGAGGCCCCAGCGGGGCGTGGGGTCCATCCCTTCCTCAAGGGACGCCCGGTTCCACCCTTTGCCAGAGGAGCGGGGCCGTCCCTGTTCCAGTGCCCACCAGGGGGCCTCCTAAGGCTAGTTCAAAATGAGGTTTTTCCTGTGCTAGTCCCCAGAGCACCTGCTGGGTGCAGGTCGGGAGCGGGACTCCCGTTTCCCTGCAGCTCTCTAGCAGGTATCACGGGTGGTTTAAAAGTTAACAGAATATTACGGGACACAAAGGAACGACAGGTCAGGTGCTGCGGGTGCTGTCCCCTGGGCAGAGTGGAGAGGGCCAGGGGAGAGTATGGGGAGACAGATGCTGCTGTGAGTTTGTGCCCTGGGCCAATTGAGGAAGCCACAGTGCTTGACACCAGATTTGAAAGATTGGATTTAGGCTAAAAAGTATTGCCTTGGGGTAGACCAGAAGAGGGAGCCAACGTGGACATCTGCTGGGGGCGTGTCCCGTTGGACTAGGGGTGCAATGCAGACAGGAAAGCAGGTTGGTGTTCTCTCCAGCTGTCTCACAGGGTCACTGCTGGCTGCAGGGTCTATCTGTCACATGGGCTGCATTTCCAGTGCTCAGCTGTCATAGGTAGCCAGTGGCTGCTGTGCTGGGCAGGGAGGAGAGAACATGCTTGCCTTGTGTCCAGTGCCTGGTGCATTGCACTACAGGGCAAGGGAGAGACCAAGGAGGATGGGGTTCTGGCTTTGGAGGTCAGAGTTCACTGAGGGGAGTGATCGGAGTTGAGTGGGTGGGGCTCCTGGGAGGCGCTGTGGCTGTCTCCCTACCTCTGCTGGCTTGCTGGCTGTTTCTGGCATTCCCTGCTAGCTTCTCCAGCTTTGGTGGCTTTTCAAGCCCGCCAGTACAATTTGGGACCCACCTCTAGAAGGAAGTCTTTTTTTTTTTTAATATTTATCTTTTAGTTTTTTTGGTGGACACATCTTTATTTTTTTATTTTTATGTGGTGCTGAGGATCGAACCCAGCGCCCCGCGCATGCCAGGCGAGCGCGTTACCGCTTGAGCCACATCCCCAGCCCCTAGAAGGAGGTCTTACTCTCTCTGCTCTCAGACATGAGCAGAAACAGAAGCCAGTGAGCACATTGTTACAGACACCCAAGAAAGGCTAGGTGGCAGATCTTGCCCTCCCGGGAGGTACACGACTCCATGTTTGTTTCAGGCATTGAGAACCTTCCCTGTGAACTTCAGAGGAACTTCCAGCTGATGCGAGAGCTGGACCAGAGGACAGAAGGTGGGTTTAGCAGAGCTGGGTGCTGACTCCAGCCAGCAGCTCCCAAAGCCAGAAGAGGAGGCAGTGGGGGACTGGAGGGCAGCCAGGGAGCTGAACCACTAGTGTCTTTGAGAGAGCGCTGGTACTGTTAAAGTCAGTTGTAGCTTCTTGGAGTTTTACACGTTTTCACGTCACATCTGTGTGTTTACACATGCGTGTGTACATATGCTGAGGGGGGGAGTGCTGGGGCTGGAACCCAGGGCCTTGCTTATGCCAGATAGGTGCTCCACCTCTGAACTGCATCCCATGTGAATGACATCTTAGCCATCATCATTTTCAGTCACAGCACTTCTTGCTTTTTTCTTTTCTTTTAAAAATTTCCTACTTCCAAACTGTACACGTAGGTTGAGTATCCCTTATCCAAAAGAAGAGTTTGAGATTTTTCATGTTTTCCAATTGCAATATTTGCATATGTATAATGAGCTATTTTGGGGATGAGACCTAGTCTACATACAAAATTTACATTTAGTGTGCACCTTGGACCCCTGACCAGTCAGAGTGCTAGAGAGTCCCAGAGCTCACAAGTGCATGCCATGAAGTGCACACCCCTGGAACACAGCTGCTCTGTGGGCAGTGGTGGCCATGTTCCAGGCAGGGCTTGGTTCTTGTTGGGCCAGCTCTTGCCACCACTTGGCCTTGTAACGCTGCTTTTAGCCTGGTGACATGTGGTTCATCTTCCACCAGATAAAAAAGCAGAAATCGACCTCTTGGCTGCAGAGTATATCTCCACAGTGAAGACCCTTTCTCCAGACCAGCGTGTGGCGCACCTGCAGAAGATCCAGAGCGCCTACAGCAAGTGCAAGGAGTACAGCGATGACAAGGTGCAGCTGGCCATGCAGACCTACGAGATGGTGAGGCTCTGGGTGCTGGGCGGGGGCTCCCTGGGGCACTGCCTCCTGGGCCAGTTTGTCCACGTGGGTGCATGCTGTATGAGCACGGCACCCCTGATCTGCTCCAGCCGCAGCCTGGGCTCTCTGTTGCCCCTGTGGCCTGAGCTTGCAGTCTGTCCCTGGACCCCTGTGGTACAAAGTCATCTTGTGATGCTGTGGGCTCCTGGAGTTTGAAGCTCACTCTGGGGTTCTGCTGCCTAGGTGGATGCCTCAGACTGCCAGATTTGGGGATTAAGCAGACTCTTTCTAAAAGGTTAGATTTGGGGCTAGAGTTGTAGCTCAGTGGCAGAGCATTTGCCTAGCATGTGTGAGGCATGAGGTTCGATTCTTAGCACTGCATAAAAATAAGCAAATTAAATAAAGGTATGCTGTCCATCTACAACTATGAAAACAAACAAACAAACAAAAGTTAGGTGTGGTTCATTGTCAGTATGATGCACAGTAGAGTTTGAGGTTGCAGGTCATCTCCAGGTATGGAAGAGTGCTGTCTCTCCACCCCGTGGATAGTGGTGTGGCAGTGTGGGTGAAGCAGGTCGGGTTCTGGGTGTGGTGGCTGTTGCTCCATAGGAGTGTCTGCTCTCAGGAGCAGGGCAGCCACGTCGTCGTCTTCCTAGGTTGCTCCCACTGGTCCTGTGCCTGAGGCACGGTGGTTCTGTCCACTGCTTTTCTTCCTTCAAGAGCTTACTCATTCTTTGGGTTTTTAGGCTAGGATCCTCCCCAGGGGAGGCTCTGACCGGGAGCCGGCAGGTGGCGCGCGTCCCTGCTGTGGGTTCCTGCAGGCCTGAGGGGTGCTCTGGGTGTGGCTGGTGTCCTGGGCTGGCCGGGTGGGGTCCGAGCTTGCAGAGAGATGCTGCTGTCACCTGCTGAAGAACAGCTGTTCTGGCTCCTCCTGAGGTGGAGGTCCACTTTGTTTTTCGGTTGCTTTGTGGTGCTAGGGATAGAGCCCAGGGCCTCATTTATGCATGCAAGGCAAGTGTGGCCCCTGCACCCAGCAGTTGTCCCCTGCTTACCTTTGCATTTCACAGCTGTTACTCTTTGTTACCTATGCTCAGGTTTTTTCCAGGCAAGACTCTTGTTAGGAACATGTGGTTTCCAAAGGAGCCCTGCTTTGGCCTGTCCAGCTCACCCATGACTGGAGACCCAGCACTGGGGCTCCTCATGTGCCTCAGTCTCCAGGAGCTTCACTTGGACCTTTGAGTCCAACTTCCCAGTGTGTGTTTGCAGGTGGATAAACACATTCGGAGGCTTGATGCTGACCTGGCACGCTTTGAAGCCGACTTGAAGGACAAGATGGATGGCAATGACTTTGACAGCCCCGGAGGACGAGGGTTGAAAAGCAAGTGTGGTGTTCTTCCTGTTTGTCCTTGTTGGCTGGGGTTTTGAGCAGTTGTGCCTAACAGATGCGTTAGGAACTTGGTGGTGGACATCGTATTTGGGTGAGTCTTGTTCTGCTGTAGTGAATTAGTGAAAGAGATTTGGGGTGATTTGGGTCTTTTCCTGTTTTCCAGAAGGACGAGGTCAGAAAGAAAAAAGAGGCTCCCGGGGCCGTGGCAGAAGGACCTCAGAAGAAGATACTCCCAAGAAGAAGAAACACAAAGGAGGGTAAGGGGCTTTCTGCCCTTTTTTATCAAGGAGCATGGTGCACACTGGTTAGGGTGTGGAGGCAGCAGGACCGTGAGCCTTGTGCTCGCCCAGGCCAGGTGGCTCCTGGTCTGTGGAGCTTGGCATGTGCTGAAGGGTCCATCCTGCCAGCACGCCAGGCCGGAGTATGTGTGCAGTAGCCAGTGCCTACAGAGCCACTCTGCCCCTCCTGCTGCCCTCAGGAACTGCAGAGCCCTGGGTGCCAGAGCAGGTGCTGGCCAGGCCCCTTTCCAAAGGGCGCATCTGTATCCCTCTGTTGGTTTTACGTACGTGGGTTTTGCATGTATTCACTGTTAAATTGTGTGACTGTGTTTATTAAATGTATGTGTCATTTATCTTGAACTTCTTCAAGATATTTTATTTAGCGGCCCCAGAGGCCTAGCGTCTCTGAAGTGACCTTTGCACTAGAAAGAACACAGCAGCTGCCCGGGGCCTCTGCAGGCCTGGCTGCGGCTAGGGAGAGGGCCAAGCCGTGCTCTCCTGACGCAGGTTATCAGACTGGGCCTCACTGCTTTTCCTTGTGTTGGGGTGGAACCTCCAGGCTCCGCCCTGTGAGGCGAACATCCCTCCACTGGTCACACAGCCCCTTGCTTAGACTTCTAGATCGGCTTTACCAGGGGCACATGGACGTGCAGTGAGATGTTCTCATGTCAAGTGTTCAGCTTTGTGCTGTCGCCAGGGTCTTTGTTACTGATTCAAGTTATTCTTGAGTCAGGTTTGGTACTAGGTGTTTTCCAACAAACTTGTCTGTCTTGATGAGTACAGTGGCACACGATACCAGCTGCTTCAGAGGCTGAGGCAGGAGGATCGAAGGTTTGAAGCTAGCCATAGCAACTGAATGAGACTCCATCTCAAAATAAAAATAAAATAAAATAAAGGGCTGGGTATGTGGCTCAGTGGTAAAGTGCCCCGGGTTCAATTCCCAGTACCAAAAAAGCAAACAAAAAACCTGATAATTTATGAGGAATTTTTTTTTTTTTTGGTGGTATCAGGATTGAACCAGAGGGTGCTTTAGCTCTACCATTCACATCCTACCCATTCTTGCATTTTTATTTATTTATTTATTTTTGGTACTGAGGATTGAACTCAGGGGCACTTGACCACTGAGCCACATCCCCAGCCCTGTTTTATATTTTATTTAGAGACAGGGTCTCACTGAGTGCTTGGTGCCTCTTTTTTGCTGAGGTTGGCTTTGAACTTGCGATCCTCCTGCCTCAGCCTTCCAAGCTGCTGTGATCACAGGTGTGTGCCACTGCACCAGGTGGGTTTTATTTTTTTTTTGTAGTTGGACAGAATGTTTTTACTTTATTTATTTATTTTCATGTGGTGCTGTGGATCGAACTCAGTGCCTCACGCATGCTGGGCAAGCGCTCTACCACTGAGCCCAGCCTCGCACCTGGCTTTACATTCATTTTGAGACAGGTCTTGCTAAGTTACCCAAGCTGGGCTTGAACCTGCAGTCCATGTGCCTCAGCCTCTGGAGTCACTGGGGTGACAGGTGTGGCCACTGTGCCTGGCATATCCTCAGGTTTTTTGACAGCAGACTGCCATGACCTCATGTTATTGAGGGTCTGCTGTGGTGAGCCGTGCTGATGACTGCCCTCTCCTGGTCCTGTTGCTGGTGGTCTGCTCTTGTCTGTCCTGACCTCCAGAGAGCTGGCCTTCAGTCTCTGTGGCTTCTGCTGGGGGTTTTCCTCTGTGTCTGTGTCTGCTCTTTGTTGTGTCCTTCCATCTGCTCAGCTTGGGTTCAATTTGCTTTTCTTTTTCTGGCATTTTAAGATGTGGGTTGCCTAGATCATTTATTTTTATACCTTGTAATTTGTTTTAGTTGCAAATTCCATACATTTTGATATGTTGGGTTTTAATTTTCATTTTATTTGAAATATTAAAAAACTTTCATTCTGATTTTCCTTGACCTAAAACTCATATAGAAGTATGTGTCTCAATTTCTAATTTGGGATTTTCCTGATAACTTACTGATTTTACTTTTTAAGTGCGTTGTGATCAGAACATCCTGTTCTGAAACCCTGTGCAGGCAGTGGAGATGAGCGTGGTGGCCCCACGCAGGGCACTTGATGGTGGTGTCCTGAGGGCCAGCCGGGCCCCAGGCCCACAGTGCTGCTCAGGCTGTGTGTCTTGCTGATGCTCTGGGTGTGGGGCCTCCCACCTCCAGCTCAGGGGAAGGTCTGTCTCCTCTCCTTCTAGTGCTCTTTTCCTTTTTTTGGCACTGGGGATTGAACCCAGGGGCTCTTTACTACTGAGCCACATCCCAGCCCATTTTTATTTTTTATTTCGAGACTAGGTCTCACTAAGTTGCTTAGGACATCACTAAGTTGCTGAGGCTGGCTTTGAACTTGTGCTCCTCCTGCCTCAGCCTCCCCAGTCACTGGGATTACAGGTGTGTGCCACCATATCTGGCTCGCCCTTTATTTTCAACACATTTATTTTTTGTTTTGAGTGTGTTTATTTTTCTTTCTTTCTTTTTTTTGGGTACATAACCATTGAGTTACACCCCCAGCCCTTTTTTATTTTTATTTTTTGTGGTGCTGGGATTGAACCCAGTGCCTTGTGCATGCAAGGCAAGCACTCTACCAACTGAGCTATATCCCTGGCCCCCTTTTATATTTTTTATTTTGAGAAAGGGTCTTACTAAGTTGCTGAGGCTGGCCTCAAACTTGCCATCCTCCTGCCTCAGCCCCCTGAGCTGCTGGGATTACAGTTGTGCACCAGTGTGCCTGGCGAGTGGGTTTCGTACATGCAGCAAATAGCTGAGTCCTTTTTTCCTAGACTGGCAGTCTCTGCTCTGTGACTGTGCTGTGTAGTTGATAATGTGATGTGTCTAGGTCTCCTCTCTTGTAGCGTTTTCTGTTTGCCCATCTGTTTTTTCCCTGACAGTTGGATTCGTCAGGCATGTTCTTAGTGTTTTCTTTCCTGCTATTGTACTAGCTGATCTAGGAGGTGTGCTGTTGTGTGAACTCACACAGAGGACCCCACATAGTGTGCTGGACACACTGGACATGTGGATACCGTGCTCTGCCTGTGTCCATCCTGCTCTGTGCCAGTCAGGCACCGTTCTGGGTGTAGCATGAGCCTTTCCTGAGTTCAGTCTCCCAGGCGCACCAGGTTCTGACCTGGCATATGTGTGTTGGGGGGCTGGACTCTGGTGGTGGATGGTGGGCAGTTAGCAGGGGCTGAGGGGCTGGGAGGTGGTGGCCATGCTCCTTTGGGTGAGCAGGACGTCAGGGACCCCCTGTGCCAGGTGACAGTAGGTGGAATCTTGAAGACTGAGTCGACCCTGCAGCTACACATAGAGGTCACCCCTGGGTGCTGTCTAGGCCCCTTTGCCTGGACTGTCTTCTGCGGTCGGTAGTCACGGGTCACCTGTGGAGACAAGTCCTCTGGGTTCTTGTTTCTCTGGAAATGTCTTTGTTTTGCCTCTCTGTTTTTTGCATGGTGCTGGGGATTGAACCTGGGGGCTCTGGGCCTGCCCAGCAAGCTCTGTGCTGAGTCCCAGCCCCGCTCCTCTCTTCCACTTTTGAAGGACAGTTCTGCTGGAGGTAGATCTTGAGGTTTGTCTTGCTTTCTATTTTCATTAATGACGATGTTCCATGTTCTTTTGTCTCCTGTAATTTCAGATGAGAAGTCAGCAAAACCTTTGTTCCCATTATTATTGACATTTTTTCTGTAAGATTTCTCTCTCATACTGACTGATAGCAATTTGAAAATGATGTGTCCCCCGACCCCCTAGTACTGGGGATCGAACCCAGGGTCTCATGCACATTTGGCAAGCACACTACCACTGAACTGTACCCCCAGCCCTTTAAATATTTCGAGTCAGGATCTCACAAGTTCCAGGGAAAGGACTTGAACTTATGACCCTCCTGCCTCAGCCTCCTGAGCAGCCAGGATCACAGGCAGAGTTCTTATTGCCTGTCTGACCTTGGGTGTCAGGGAGATGTGGGCGGAGTCAGCACTTTCCTGGCCCAGGCAGGTTGAGCCGGGTGGATGGCTGTGTCTGCAGCAGACCCAGTGCCCCTTGGGCCTCAGGTTGCCAGGTGAGGCCTTCCTGGCCCTGAACCCTGCACATGTCCTGTGAGTGGCAGCTGCATGAAGGCCCTGGCATGTGGTGGTGATGCTGGCTTGTGTGGCAGGGTGGGCTCTTGGTCCCAGGAGGTGGGTAGATCCTCCCTCAACTGCAGGTCTGTTCTCCTTGCCCCAGTGCCTCTGACATCTGTAAATGTTTTTTTTTTTTTTTTTTTTTTTTGGGGGGGGGGGGCGGTTTACTGAAGATTGAACCCAGGGTGCTTAACCACTGAACCATATCCCCAGCCTTTTTTATATTTTTTATTTAGAGACAGGGTCTCGCCTCGCTAAGTTGCTGAGGCTGGCTTTGAACTCGTGATCTTCCTACTTCAGCCTCCCAAACCTCTGGGATTACAGGCTGAGCCACTGCGCGTAACTTAAATGTGGTTTTGAATTTCCTGGACTTGATTTTTCCGGCTTGGAGGGCAATAGCACATGGAGCCTTTGGCCTGCTCCTGAGAACGCTCCCCAGGGCACCCTTGGCGAGAGGATTTGCACTGGGGTTTCCAGGAGGCGTGGGAGCCCTAGCCCCTCTCTCTGACACTACAGGAGGGGCCCATGCATGGTGGGACCGGCTCTCAGGTTGCAGCTTAGAGGTAGCCATGGGCCCGCCCAGCAGGAGCTGCATTGTGCCTGGTGCCAATTCCTGTCCAGTAGCAGGAGGAGGCCCTAGCTCACTGCTTCCAGGCTTATCTGCTGGACAGGTTGCAGTAGCCATGTGGATGGTGTGGTGAGGGGCCTGTGGGACCTGGCTGCATCTGCTTATGTGCAGGTCCAGGTCCTCTGTGGCCCCTGAGTGGCCGTGTGGCACCTGGGCCATTTTATAGGTGTTGAAGCCAGCGGGGTGGCCTGAGGCCCCAAGCTCTGTTGTGTGCAGCCATTGTGGAGGACTAGAGGGGTCCCAGGAGGTAGCCAGGTGGATGTGAACCCAGGACTCCTGGGGCCAGTATGGGAACTGGTGTGGCTGCAAGGACATGGCCCTACAAGGACAAGGCGCACAGGAACTTGCCTGTGCAGTGGGTTTTCACAGTGTGGGCTTGGAGTCCCTGCTTCATTCCCGGAGCCCTTTTCCCTGGGGGACCTAGGATGGTGCCTGGTTCCAAGTTCCTGTGGCTCACTTACCTCCGGGGCCAAGCCAAGGGGCCATCCTGAGAGGAATATCCCAGATCTCAAACTGCTTCCCGTCTTCGAGACGAGCGCCGCAGAGCCTGACTTTCTACTAAGGCGGGCCTGCATGGGGCCAGAGGGCCGTTTCTTCTGTAGCCTCTGATCCCAAAGTGTGGACACTGGGGCTCCTGCAGTGCTGGGAGGCACACTGGCCTGTCTGGCAAGGGGAGCCCGTCACACCTGGAACCAGTGGAACCAGCGCTAGCTGGTGGCCAGCCACTGATAGCTGGGGTTGCCCAGCTCCTGAGGATCAGCCGCCTGTGGGGTCCTTGCTGGGTGACAGGGATCTGGAGCAGCGGGGCAGGCTGCTGCTCGGGTGTGGCTGTTGGGCCCTGGTGCACTTTCCAGTTGAAGGAGTTTGAGTGGACAGACAGCGAGACCCCTGTTGTCAGAGGGTTTGCCACCTTAGAGGCTGCAGCCAGGCTGCGTGATGACGCAGACAGGAAAGGTGACTGAGCCACGGAGTGCCACATGCCTCAGGAAAAAACAGAACTGTTTCCAGACCTGAAGGACGATTGTGACGTGCTGGGAAGCAAGATTGACAGAGCACGTGCGTGGACAAGTGTTTGTGGCATGGATTTCAGATATAAGAGAGAATCCTTTGTTTCCAGAGATGCAGAGACAGTGGAAGAGCTGATTACCTACGGGGGAAGGGGCTGGGCTCCTGGAGCCCTCTTGAGCTCTGGGCCGACATTGTGCTGCAGTGTGTGTGTGTGTCTGAGTGGGTGGGAGGTGCTGCCGAGCCTGTGGTATGGTGTGGCCACAGTGTGGTGGCAGCAGGTTGGGGGGAGGGGGGAGGAGGGAGGGGTCTGGGCCCAGCTGCTGCTCAGAAACCCAGGGAAGGCTGAGCAGGAGTGGGGTGACAGGCTCCCAAGCTGCTGGGGCTGTGGATTTGGGGTAAAGGTATCTGTGTACATGTGTGGAAGCCTGGGCACAGGATGCACTGGACTTCTCATGGGGGCATGGCACATCAGGCAAGTGCTGGGAGTGCTGGGGATCAGTGTGGGATGGGGTGCGGGCAGGCTTCTTTCAAACGTCAGCTGTCCCTGGTGGGTAGGGTTGCATGTGAGCCCCAAGGGAGGTGGCTGGGAGCCGAGGAGGGCCGACAGGACTGGTAGACCTCAAGGTCCTGTCCCCTAGTCCAGCGGCCCCGGCACCCTGGTGGTGGGAGGGGGGTGCACCCTCCTGTCTGCTGCCCTTGCTGCCCCTCTCATTCCTGCTTGGGGATCTGGGGGTCATCAGGTGCAGCGTCGCCTGGTGGCTGCTCACATCCACACCAGTTTTCTCGCCACCAGCTCCTAGGAGAGCACGGTGTGGTCAGAGAGGTTTAGAGGTGGTCCTTGAACAATGTGCCTTCAGAGCAGCACTGGGAATTTCACCAGATCCTAGCTTGCGTAGGGAAGCTGAAGGAGAGTTGGTGAGTAGCCTGGAGCCCACCGCAGGTTTCCTCCGGGGCAGCGTCGTCTGTCTGCCAGCCACTGGCCAGGGGACCGGGCCACAGGCAGAAGGTGGCGCCCTCCCGCCACGCCATCAGCGCCTTGCCTCCCGCAGGTCTGAGTTCGCGGACACCATCCTGTCCGTGCACCCCTCGGATGTGCTGGACATGCCTGTGGATCCCAACGAGCCCACGTACTGCCTGTGCCACCAGGTGTCCTACGGGGAGATGATCGGCTGCGACAACCCAGATGTGCGTGTGGGGGGCGGGGCCGTGGGAGGGCGGGGCCCTGGGCGCGGAGGGGGGTCTTGTGGGCGGCGCCGCATGCGAGGCCTGTGACCCGGTGACATGGCTTTCCCTTTCCTTTCCAGTGTCCCATCGAATGGTTCCACTTTGCCTGCGTGGACCTCACCACGAAGCCCAAAGGAAAGTGGTCAGTATGGGGTGCTGCAGGGAGCCTGCTGCGCCGGCCTCCCCCGGGGAGGCTGTGACCGGGAGCCGGCAGGTGGCCGCGTCCCTGCTGTGGGTTCCCGCGGGCCCGAGGGGTGCTCTGGGTGTGGCTGGTGTCCTGGGCTGGCCAGGGTGGGGGCCGAGCTTGCAGAGAGATGCTGCTGTCAGCTGCTGAAGAACAGCTCTTCTGGCTCCTCCTGAGGTGGAGGTCCCCTTTGTTTTTCGGTTGCTTTGTGTGCTGGGGATAGAGCCCAGGGCCTTATGCATGCGAGGCAAGTGTGGCCCCGGCACCCAGCACTGGTGGTGAAAATCTGAAATGAAGGTGCTGTTCTTGTGCCCGGGGCATTCTGGAGCAGGTGGAGCATAAGCCAGAGTCCCCGCAGAAGGGCTCTGTCTGATGGACAAGTGGCTTAGGAGGTTCATGCGAACGTTCACGCGCATATGTGGTCCTGTGCTCAGCAGCGGCAACTGTTCAGCTGTTGATCCTAAGACTTCATTTATTTCTTTATTTGTTTATTTTGGGGACAGATACTGGGGATTGAACTCGGCGGGCACCTGACCACTTAGCCACATCCCCATCCCTATTTTGTACTTTATTTAGAGACAGTGTCTCACCTCACCGCTGCTGAGGGTGTTTTGAACTCGAGATCTTCCTGCCTCAGCCTCCTGAGCCACTGGGATTATAGGTGTGCACCACTGCAACCATCCAAGATTTTATTTTAGAAAATTTTGGTTTTAGTTAGGCACTGTAGTGAATGCCTTTCATCCCAGCAACTGGGGAGGCTGAGGCAGGAGGATGGTAAGTTCGAGACCAGCTTCAGCAACTTAGGCCCTGTCTCAAAAAAAAAAAAATAAGAAAGGACTAAGGATACAGCTTGGTGCAAGAGCACCCCTGGGTTCAATGCCTAGTAACATGAAAATGGGTACACGGATACACAGGTAGGACTGGGATGCAGCTTGGTGGCACGGTACCCAGGTTCAGTCCCCAGATCCAAAGACAACACAGCAAAACTTGGTTTTGCCCACTTATGTGAAGTGCGTGGTCTTCAGTGCAGTTGTGGTAACCCTGCCTCAGCCCCAGGGCTGGTTACAGTGATCTGCTGGTGTGTGCATAGATGGGTGCTCCCACAGAGAGCGCTTGGGTGTCAAGTGTGTGTGGTTTTCCGGGGTGCACACTGTGTCTGCCTAGGGGTGGCTCACTGGAGTTCTGAGAAGGGGCGTGGCAGGTACCTGGCTGTGCCCACCGGGTAGGATGGTGGTCCGGGGCTGAGGAAGGGGCCTGGTGTAAGCAAGTTTGTGTCTGCAGAATCTGCAGGTGGGACTGCTGCCTACCTGTGTGAGCAGGACTGGGGTGGGGCACAGTGCCCTCTTCCTGGTCTTTCAGATCTTGGTGTGAAGCTGGTGGCTGCTGGGCAGGCCTGTGTTCCTGACTGCGGGAGCTCGGAGCCTCTTAGTGTGGAGGGCCCTGAGTGCTCTCAGGCCCACAGCCTGCAGGAGGTGATACCAGCTATCAGGTGTGAAGGGGAGCCTCCTGACGTCCTGAGTGGCCACCGGATCCAGGAGGTCCAGGAGAGTCTGAGGATTCAGAGCACAGGGGCCCTGTGGGTAGTGCGGGTTCCAGTCCACCTGACGGGCCTGCACCCACTCCACACCCACATGTCCTCCCCTGCCTGACTGGGTGTCATCTCCAGGGTGGGCACACAGCCCTGCCAGTGACCAGGGCCGGGTGGCCACGGCTGATGTGCACTATCCACTTCAAGCACCTGTGGTAGCTTTTCCCCGAGGGAAGCTGCCCACTGTGTCTAGTCTGCCCCGGGAGGTGTGGGGGCGGGCTGGGTGCCCTGTGCACTGGCAGAAGTGACCCAAGGGCCGATCCATGTGTCCTTCTTGCCGCAGGTTCTGTCCACGGTGCGTTCAGGACAAGAGGAAGAAGAAGTGAGGAAAGGCTGTGTTCCTGGGGAGATGAGTCCACCGGCTCTTTCGTCCACGCCGCAATACGTTTTTGATTTTAAAACTACCTTATTTGACTGATATTTAATAACTCAATGGCCAGTTGTCATTCTGGATATTTCTTAAGCGAGAAACCACCAGGCCCTGTTTGCACAGAGGAGCAATCTCACAGGACCTGCCACAGTGACTTTCTTCAGACCCTGAGCTGAGCGTGGCGGCCACCGAGCCAGCCCAGGGTCCTGGGGTGGGTGTTGGTGAACTTGGGCTGCCAGGCCAAGTGCTCAGTGTGGGGGACGTTTTACCTGGTACACTGCCACCACTTTGCCACCAGAGTTACCATAAGCACATCTGACTTTCTGAGAGTGCAGTGTGGCTGGGTGCCGGGACCTGACTCCAGGGACCGTGGACTGGGCTGGACACCTCCTGTGTGTCTGGTGCCGGAGCTCTTCCCGGGAGCTCCGGCCTCAGACCCGCCTCTGTCTCTGCACTGCCTTTTCAGTCTGGACGCTGGTCTGGTCCTCCCGGGGATTCGCCTCTGGAGTGGCTGGACCTGCCTTGGCCCCAGGCTGGGTTCCGCTGCTCTGGGGCCTCTGACTTTTTACTGTGAAGATGAGATTGTTGTAAGAGCGTGAAGACCTGTGTCTGTCTGCAGTGAGCCGTCTGCCAGGAGCTGCTGGGGACCCGTGCTGCACACCTAGGGCTTTGGTCGTGCCACTGTCTGTGAGTCTGCTGTGCCCAGCAGCAGGGCTACGATGGAGCCAGGTAGTCGGCATTCGCACACCAGCACTGCAGCGTCTGGGGACGTTGGGGATGTGACATCCATGCCAGGACCTCAGGACGGCTTCCAGGGGCCTCCTTAGCTGCACAGCCTCTGGCACGTGCACCAGAGTCCAGGGTTTGCTGAGAACCCAGAGGCTGCTCCTGTTCTCCCACCAGAGGAAGAACCCAGGGTGGGCGGGGGGCAGCCCAAGGAGGGCCTCGTCTGTCCACGGAGGTCACTGGGGCCACCTGCTTGTCCCCTCTGCTGGCCATGTCTGTATTTTCCTGTCAGTGCTGTGGCCCTGACTGTGCCGGGGGAGCACTCTGCCACCGAGCCACACCGGCCCTTTGTACCCCTCCCTGGGGTTTCACTGAGGGGAGGAATCCAGCAGGACGGCACCGGGCAGGCACCGGGCAGCCCTGTGTCCTGGGCTCATGTCCATGTGGAATGCAGGCCTCTGTGGTTCCCACAGCTCAGTCTGGCAGCTCGCTCCTAGTGGCCTGCCTTCAGGGCACAGGGGGAGGGCCTGCTCCCGTGCCCACGGTGTGAGTGGCCGGTGCTGGCCGTTCGCAGAGTCAGGTGCCAGGTGGGTAGGGTGGAGGGCTGGCCATCCATCCCTGTCAGGTCCCCAGGCTAGAAGCTTCCTGAATCCTGGCCGTCCTGCGCTCAGAAGCAACAGGGTGGAGGCCCGCTTAGTCTCCGCCACAGCTGCGACACGGATGTGTGCCTCCATTTCATGGTTGTGGTTGACACAGGTATTTAGGGGTCACAGAGAATAAGTTGTGGGAAACTTTCCTTTGCTCTTCCTCCTCCTGGGTGCTGGGTCACCCAGGGCCTCACGTGCTGCTGTTGCCATTTTTTTCAAGGACAGGAATTTTCACCGGAGGCTGCCGACCCTACCTCGGGCAGGCTGCTCCCGTCTCCCGTCTCACGTCCTCCCTGGGGAGTAGGGGTGTGGCATGTGGCGGGCCCAGGCTGCTCAGTGTTCTGTTCTGGCATCCTGGAGGTGAGGACTCCCCTGCCACTGTGGGTCCCTCTCTGTGGCTTTGGTTTGTTTTTTTTTTAAGTTTTTGTTTTTTTATGTTTACTTTTGCCAGTTAAAATAATATCACCAAAAATAATATGCATATAGCTTTGGGAGGAACAACAGGAAGTGCATGCAGAATTCTTTGGGGGTGTTGTCTGGGCCCTGATGGGCTATTGTCCCGCTGGTGCTCCTGTCTGGGTGGGGGAATCTGGGGTGGTTGGCTGGAAAGGAACTTGGCCCCAGACACTGCTCCAGAGGCCTGGCTGCCTTCACCTGGAGCCCTGCAGGTGGCCGCAGAGTCGGCCCACCTGGTGCACCGAGGGCATCTGCCAGCCCTGGGTTACTGGCAGTGTCCCCCCGTGAGGGTGTGTGTCCTCTGTGGTGTGAGTCCCTGTGGGCGAGTGCACGGGAGGAGCGGGTCTTGCTGCCTCTGAGCTGTGTGCATCGGGGATCCCAGAAAGACGGCCTGCTGGGTGTGCAGGGAGAGGCTGGTAAGCACCCTACACCTGCAGGTGTGCTGGTCTGCAGTGGCTTAGACAAGGACCTGGGCCAGATGACACCCCAGCAGCTGGTTGCCCCCGGTCCCTTCCCCTGGGCAGGCTGGGACTGCAGGCAGGGACTTGGAGGCTGTATCAGGCAGGCCCGCTGGAGCAGCGAGGAGCCTGGCGTGTCTCTGAACCCAGGCAGGGACCACTTTGAGCAATAACACCAACCAGGGCACGGCTTCCCAGGCAGAGCATGGCCCAGGTTACCCTCCTCGTGCTGGGGGTTGTGGCTGTAGTTTGAAATAGCGTGAGGGATGTTCGTTCTGGGCACTGAAGACTTGAGGTTTTCCCAGATGCTCAGAGAGCAACCATGGGCCTCCGCCAACTGCGCTGAGAGGAATTTCAAAGCAGGGGAGTAGTAGGAAAGTGTCCTTCTAGGTGTGCAAAGCCTTTCCCTGGCTGTTCTTTGGTTGCTCCACCATGCTTCATCCAGCTTTAACATGAATGTCACTTTTTATTTTCAAGGAATTATTATCTATGTCCCCTTTGTAAAGGAAAGATGCTATTGTAAATCTTTTTATTAAATAATGTAAAGATGCATATCTGTATTTTTGGATCATGTTATAGATTATGGATATATTGTTTAATAAAGTATTTTTTGGAACAAATGCTTACAGGTGGATCCTTTTGAGAAACAGTTGTTACGTTCCTGATTTGCACCGGGCAGAGTCACTAACTCTGAAGGGCTGTGCAGAGTGCTGGAGGAGAGTTGTCGGGAACTTCATGGTCTGTGGCCTGGCTGGGACCTGGGCCTCACCTGGGTTGGGTGCTTGGGAAGGTTGGTGTCAATCCGGGCCTGCTGTGTTGAAGCCGTTGAAGTGGGTCCCCACCTCCCAGGGGAGAGGTGCATAAATGGGCCGGCACGGGTGGGTGGTGTGGGGGTGGATGGTGTGCGAGGGAGGCTGTGACTTCCTGGAGCAGGAGGCTTGCTCTCCAGGACAGCATAGGTGTCAGGAGCCCTTGGGGAGCTGTCACCACAACATACCTCAGACGGGAGGCTTAACAGAATTAATCTCCCAGTTCTAAAGGTTGGAAGTCCGAGATCAAGGTGCCAGCAAGGCTGGTGTCTGTGGGCTCTTCCCTTGGGCTGCAGACAGCCACCTTGTCACTGTGTGCTCAGATGGAGGGTAGGAGCACTGGTGTCTTTCATGGGCACGTGGCCCTATCTAGTCAGGGTGCCAGCCATAGAACTTCATTGACCTAATTACCTCTTTGGAGGCCCTGTTCTTAATATTGGGCTTAGGGTTTTCATCTAAGAATTTGGGGGGCGGGGGAGACGTAAGGAGCTGCGTAGGACTATTCCCCCAGGCAGTGTTAGCAGAGCAACCTGGTTAGATGGGCTTCCTGCTGAAGAGGAGGTGAAATTCTAGTGCAAGGGCCAGCAGCAATTGCCACCAGTGCTGCTCTGTCCTCTGGGCATGCCCCAGGTCACCTCCAACCGCCTGCCAGGTGCTGAACCCTGGGAAAAGGAAGACCCAGTTCTTTCTTGGGTTGGTCAGTTTTTCATCACTGTGACCAAAATTCCCCACAATAAAATGCTTGTGTTGCATGAATGGTGCTGGGCTGAGATGCTTCCCACATCCCTATCTGACCTACCTGCGCAGGTGGGCAGCTCTTAAGGAATGTGGTCACTGAGACACAGGACATGGCCCCAGCTGCAGCTGCAGGTCCAGTAGGGTGTGGCTTCATCCATGTCCTCCTGGCCTGCAGCAGGCCACTGTTGGCTCGCTACAGTCTGTGAGATTATGGACCCACTGGCTTCCAAAGGTGGAGAAGCAACCACACACCTCTGTGACCCCTGCACGGCCCTGCGTGGGCTCCTCGGCATGCCGAGGTCTAAACGTCCCGTGGAACATCCTCTGGTCTTCTTCACTGAGGACAAGTGGAACCGGATGAGTTGGACAGACAACACTGGAGACCCGTGGAAGACAGGGTGGGAGATGAGCCCTTCTCAGCACACTGTCAAGAAAGGGGACAGTTGTTTTCAGGATTCACTTTAGGGTGCGGTGGGCTCAAAGGGCAGAAGGGAACCTGGAGGCAGCAATGGTCGAGGTAGGGAGCAGCAACCAGCGACAACCTGGCCAGGCCCCAGTGGGGCATGGGGGAGGGCTGCCTGGACCCCAGCAGGGATTATGGTGCCCGGAGAGTAGGCTCAGCTGGCCTTAGGGCTGGGCAGGTGCTCAGGAGAGGGCCACCCTCTAAGCTCCCTGCGTGGAATCCCAGGTGTGGGCCCTCCTTCAAGGAAGTGTTCCTGCTGCTGTCACTTCCTGGTGTCCAGGGTGCCAGTGACCCCTGGGGAGACAGGCTTCTAGAGAGGTGGAGACCCTTAAGGGGACAGAAACCTCTAGAAAGATGGAAACCCCTGGGGACTGACACCCCTAGAGAGATGGAGACTATCTTGAATGAGCTGTGCCATTGACCAAACACGTCTGTGTCTTTCCCCAGAGTCAGGATTGATTTATTTTGGCTCATTTGTGGTCACAGCTGGGCAATCACACCTTCTTCCATTCTGGTCTTAATTCCACATCCACACACTCAAGTCACACATCACACTTCACAAGGATATACAGCTAGGTCACAGAAAGACCGAGAAACAGTTAAGACAGCTGTGGGGTCACAGGATGCTGAGCCCAGGGCACAGGCAGAGAGAGGACTGCAGAGTCGCAGGGCCACTGCAGGTGGTCAGATGAGGGCGGTCAAGGCAGGGGTTCCCGACAGCCTACAGTGTCAGGCCGTGTCAGCTTAGAGTGTCAGTTCAAGGCTCGGAGTGGGACTTGGGTGGGGGTCAGGGGACTCCTCTAAAACCGGAGGATGAGCTTCAGAAGTTTGTTGCTGTGGCAATTTTCCTGGGCAAACCTTGGTGACCAGGTGACCAGGCGACGGGGTGAAGGTGCCTCCATGTCCACCCCTGAGGTGTTCCCCTTTTATGGACCTCGAGGGAGGGATTGATTCGTTTGGTGATCTGGTGTGTTCAATAGCCCAAGAGACTGGTTTTTCACGCCTGAGCAGATGTGTCGCTGCTTAATTCTGTCAGGACACAGGTGGTCACTTTTACTGAACAACTAATTTATTCTCAGTTTGTGCCTAATCGTGGTGCCAGGGAGAAGGTGTTGTTCACTTGAAAAAGCACAGTACGGAGTCATCCACCAATGCAAAATGAAACAGCTCATGGCAAACCACCACCTAACAAGATGGAGGACTAAGGTTTAGGCACAATGTAAGAACTGTCCACACCCCAAGGGGGCACGGAGCACAGGTGAAACATGAGGACTGCTGTACACCATGGAGTCACTAGGCAGGTGCGTCATGAGAGTTGCTGTTCCACACACCACAGAGTCACCCAGGGCAGTCTCCGCCTGAGGTCTGCTGTTGCACACACCATGGAGTCACAAGGGCAGACACGGCCGGAGAGTTGCTCTTCTACACACCATGGAGACACCCTGGTCAGGCACAGCTGACAGTCGCTGACCCATACACCATGGAGACACCCTGGTCGGGCACAGCTGACAGTCGCTGACCCA